TATAATATTTCATAGGAATTATTTCAAATTTGTTAAAAAACTGATTCTGACTGAGATTTTGACACATAAACAAACATATCTCAGCCTAACCGAACGACCACATTGTACGAGATGCGAAGTACAAAAACTAATCTCATTAGAGAGGGCGCACTTTATTGACTGTATAAAGTATACATAAAAGCAAGAGTATTCCAGTGGATGCGATCTACAACCTTTGAATTTGCCTAGTAACGATGAATTCGTCGAGAAAATGGTAATATTTTATGAGAAATAGTCTGTATTTCTCATTTTTTTTATTCCTTTGCGTAAAACTAAAATTCATGCCAATATTTTTCCATGATTTATAATAATTGGAGTAATGCAAATGCATATTTTCTAAAAAAAAGTCAGTTTTTAGTGAAATTTTGCCGGGAATGGGGCTACCTGATTTCCATAACAATAGTACACTTTGCTTACAGTGTTTTGACTGCAATTGTTGCACTGCGTAGATGTCCCTAATGCTGTTGGAAAGGCTCCCTGATTCAACCGACAAAAACGCAAGTTATTAAAAGATTGTTACAATCAACATTATGTTCTTAATCGTTAATTTGTTTCTTTTAGGCAATTTGTACAGAAGCAGGCTTGATGGCATTAAGGGAAAGGAGAATGAGGGTGAACAATGAAGATTTCAGAAAGTCAAAAGAAAATGTTTTATACCGGAAGACAGAGGGAACACCAGAAGGACTTTACTTGTAATTAGGTCTTGCTCAATGGGTTTTTGAATGTTAAATTAAATACAAGCACAGTAGAAACCCACAGTCACTTAAATTAAACAAGTTTGTACATGTCAGGCCCATAATTAGGGGGTTTTATGGTTAGGTCGACAACCCTTTTCAAGCAAAAACCCCTCTGGTAAGCTGAACCACCCCTCCCCGCCTTGCATGAAATACCATCAAAATAATAAAATTCACCATTTACATAAATGCTTCAACTCCAGAAGGGTTCCCCTCATAAACCCCCTTTACGGAATTTTTCTTATGGGCCTGAATGTCAAACCATTATCTAGTCCATATTTGTACTAATTATAAGCAATTTCATTAAAGAATTGTGGATATATGCTAATAAAGGTATTACTTTGCCTAGTCTGTAAATGTGATTTTGTTTTTATCACAAACAATCCTATTAACAACTATGTCAGGAATCATGTTACATCAATATGGAATGATGTGAACATGAAGCTATTGTAAGCGCCTCTTTACAGCGGACCACGTCCATACGCAATTCACCACAATGACGCTGCGAGTTACAAGTTATTCTCCAACCTTTACATTTATCTAGAAAAGAAACTTACCCTCGTCTCCGGAGAAGGAGGCGATACAGGAGGCGCAGCATGCGTCTGTGTGTATGCGTCTGCGTGCATGCGTCTGTGTGTGTGTGTGTGTCAATAAATAGAAATATAAAAACCTGAGGATTTAAAAAAAAATTATATTTATTGCATATCAGATCCATACTCCAAGAGTTGTAGCTTAGACAAGGCCTGGCTTTTCAAGCCAATCATCCTATTAGTAGTCGTTATAATCATAGTTGCTGTCCAAAAATATGGCTGGACCAGCTTCTGTTGTTTTCCCAGCATGCAGTGTATTCACTGCCAAACGCTTACACTGCCTTCCCATGAACATGTGACCATTACCCCAGGTAGCACAGGGTGATATGCCACATCAGTGCATATATTATCCCCATCACATTTAAGCTTCTTTATCAGTTTAGAGGTTTTGTAACTATAAAAATATACACAGCCATCAGAGCTTCCACTTGTGATTATGTTCCCATCGGGTGAATAATCAAATCCGATTGGGTATCCTTCAATCTAGGAAATAAAAAGCAATGAAAATTCTTGTAAAAACACAAGAGTGTGCTTAAAGTATACATGTAATAAATGTTTATGGGAAGTAGAATATTTTTATGAGGTGTTCTATTTAATGAGGTGTATCTGGGTTGAATGGAAAATAAAAGGGTGAAAAATAAATGGAAAGACCAACTGCCATTTGCTAATAGTAAAGGCCTTCCAAACAACACAATCAAAATCCAGATATCGATGAAATTACAACATTTGAAAGAATAAGGAACATACAGGACGATAAATTTTGAAACAGGATATAATTTCTGAAATGTGATGATTTTATCTCATTTTATGAATCATCAAAAACATTAACTGCTCATGTCATATACCACCTATTTTTGTCACTTGTTAAGTAGACTTGTACACTCAGATGGTCTGTGATTGTGTGCTCAAAATTAAAAAGATTACATGGCAAGAATACATTCATATTTAAATGTACATAAATAATCAGAAATGCATGTCACCTTCAATAAGCTATATCTGTATTTAACTCGCTAACAGCAATAGATTACCACTTACTGGTTGGAACAAGTTTAGGTATTGTAATGTTATTCTTTAACAAACTACAAACATTTAAACTTGTAATACAATAATATTTATATTCACATATTTACCTTGTGGCCTTCAAATCGTTTGAATTTGTTGAGTTTGTACGGTCGTTTACAGGAGAACATTGCGATATAATTACCATTGGACTGCGCAAGGAACACATTTTCCTTTGGGTGGACTTTTAAACATGGACAAGTGTATTTTTCCTATAGTGTAGAAAAATGGAATTATCAACTAAATAAATAATTCATTTTACATTAATAGCATATACACTGTTTATCACTATCTTAAAGCCAGACACTCACTACCGTCAGTGGTCGTCATCTGACGAGATTCTATGAAGAATGCAATGCCACTATCGACTAATTTTTTTTCAGTCTGAAACACACTAAAAATAATCAACATAAAGAACTTAAAATTCATAAAAGACACCTACTGTAGATCAAAAGTCGGGAAAGCTTATTTCCCGACATATGATTCAAACTTTTCCCGAGGCTAGACCTAAATCTTTGGCGGGCCAGAGTTGGCCCGCTGGCTGGGGATTGGATACCTGGGGCCTACTGTATAGGCAGTCCTCATAAGGTGGGCCTAAATTATTTCTGATGCATTGTTTCCAATACTTTTGGGCTATTATAAAGGCCTATTCGGAAATTCTCTGTGTACGATCGTATGCAGTAATTCTTCACGGCCGTGTCAAATAATGTAATGGTAAACGATTGCAAATTGATGCGTTTTCTTGTAGAAATGAACCATCATGTATAATGTAGGCCTACTTCGGTACCCATTAACAGAAGGAATCAAATTAAATGACAGGGTTTAAGCTGGCCAAAAACAATATATAGCAATTTGGCTTATTTGGTATGAAAATAATAAGCCAAATAGAAACTTGATTAGCCAAAACAAACGAATATAAGTAAATGAGAGCTTTATTTCCATTAGCTTTTTGGCTAATTTTAAATGAAAATATTTAGCAAAATTCAGTTTTTATTAGGATTTGGCTATTTGACTAATGACAGCTTGAACACTATATCAGTAGGGCCAAGGCATAACAATCGTATTTTATCTGCTTTTCGCAATCAGATCAGTGGACAGGGGTGGCATCATTTAGATGAATGTATATGTATTGATTCGTAACAACAATTAATCTTTGACACCTTACATGATATAGCTGATTGGATATGACAGCAGCTGCCCTGAAATCCCAAATCATGATAGTCCGATTCGCTGAATCCCTCCCAACAATACTACTAGACGACGCAAATTCTGAACCACTTGAGAGAAACTCCATGTCGAGCACCTCTCCAAATTTTCCTTTGTACTCATTTACCATCTGTTATATTCAAAGAAAAAAGTCATGAATTATGGCCTTATATACAAAGAATATATAAATAGTTTTATCTATGCAACCATTAATCAGCAAAGAAATCTTTTTTATTCTAGTTTTTAAACTTCAAAGCTATTAATGTACTTGAATATACACAGTAAACAATTCAAGTTTAACAATTTTTTTAAAGTTTTTAGGCCAACACACTAACACGTTGACTGCTGGACATTTTTTTAGGTTCCTTCCCATGTGCCAGAACAAGCATACATGTACAAACATACTTCTTTGAAATTCTATCTAGTCATACAGTATATCATCAAAACGGTGTGTCTCATAAATTGACAGGAAAATATTAGGGGACGAGCAAAACTCATCGCCAGCACTGGGACAGCATTTTTTTTTGTCTCTGCCAAGTGCAAGTTTTCTCATCCACATCATGGGTTGGTATATATGTTCATGCAATTGAGTGTACTGCCGGCAAGATAACAAAACAAACGTCCGTTATTTGTACATTACCATCCAGGTGTATCTTCCCCGAACTACCAGCCGTTAAATCTGTGATTCTACAATGTATAACAAAGAAGTAATAAACACTAAAATGTTACAGATTTTGACGACTATAGTCATCTCTAGCCCCCTCAGCAAAACCAAGTGGGACGAGTATACTCGTCACTGGCAGCCAACATGTTAAGCCTTTTTACATAGTAAATACAACAAAATACCTTTCCGCTGGACCTATCCCAACTGTATATTGCAGAACCGTAGGTGCCCGCTAAAAACAGGTTGTGTTCAGTCGGGTGGAACTGCAGGCAGGTGATACTGGATGAATGTGGGAAAGATCCCAAGTTTTTACCTTCGAATAGAAGAATGGGCGATCATTAGGTGTAAGTTTAAATGGGAATAAGAAATTGGAAACAATAGGGTTCCTAAAATTGTATAAAAGTCATTGACAATCACAAGCACTTGCTGACAAGGCCTAAATCATATTACAGATTTATTTTTTTTTTAATAACAAATAAGGGAAGCACTCACTGGCGGGTCTAGGGATATATTTTCTGGGGGGAGGGGCTAAGCTGTCTGACAGGGAGGACTTGAGCTTGTAGGCCCGAGCTGGGAGAAGGGTTTGAGAGTGGTTTCCCCCTCCCAAATGAGATTTTTTTAAGAATAGGAACCTCTGGATGGTCGGAAATGTCACTCTCAGACTGTGACAGACATGTGTTGGCTTGGTGTGGGCCTATTTTTATATTTTTTATGGTTTGACTGCCCGACGAGCTCTGTCTGACAGGTGGTTGGGGGGGCTTGACCTGTCCGGTGGGAGGGGGTATAAGGCCCCTGCCCCACCGCTGGTGCCATCACTGGAAGCACTATGGATGGAATGACTGAAAAGATGAATCAGTGTTCCGGTTCATAAATGCTTTATGTCATCATCATCATTCCTGATGATGACATAATTAATGTCGAAATATTGAATCCCAACACGATGGCGTGTATTTCAATACTTGGAGTATGTATTATACTTTCTTATCTGAGATTAATCAGTGGACCTTTCGGTTAAATGCTTTATATTATTATAAATTTAAAAATTATTTTTGAAAACTTTAAATTTTCATGGCAGTG